GGGAGAAAGATGAGGCTTTCTGCTTCTGTAAAGATTTACAGCCTCGGAAACCCTGTAACAGGATTGCTATGGTTCAGAACCGTCTCCATGGCACACCACCATCACTATACCGTACCAAAACTAAATCTACTGCCATCAAGTCCATTCCAACTCATTGCGATGTTTCCAAGACTGAACTGTGAATCGTTACAGAAGCAGATTCCCACATCTTTCTCCCATGAAGCAGCGGGAGATTCAAACCACCAAACCATTAGGCTAATAACTAAGTGCTTTAACCACTGCACCACCATATAGCCCATAATCCAACAATTCAATTCCTGGATTAAGTCTTAGTGCACGCAGGTGCACCAGCATTGTATGTAATAGCAAACTCCAGAAATGACCAGCATGTACATTAACACCAGAATGGTAACTAACTGGTGATACATAATCATATACAGCAATAGGATACTATGCGACTTTGACAATGACCTAAATATGACTATTGGTGCTAAAAATTAACCTCACAAACATAATGCTGATTTTTCAAAGAGGCAAGACAAAAGAATATACTTATATGAAGTTTAGGTGTACATAAAAGAAATTTTACAGTTTAAGGATACATACTTAGATGGAAAACTATAAAGAAACAAACAGCATAAATAAAGAGACAGGAAAGTGGCTGGCTTTCGGGTAGAAGGGATTGGGTTCAGAACTGAGGGGGGAGGAATTCTGGGGTGCTGACAGGCTTTTGTGACACAGAGGATTGTAAATGCAAATTAATGTTATTATTATCTGTTAAATATACATATGGGTTTTATACTTTTCAATACAAAGATTTTATATCTTATTATGAAATTTTTTTATAAAAGTTGTCACATCTATTTGGTTGTTGTAAAAGGAATCACTTTCATCTAAGCACACAGCCAGGATTTCAGCTTCCATTTAAAAGTTTAATAGACAAAAGAGCTTTCTAAAAATAGAATTCAGTTCATAATTTCATGCCATTCTTCTACTTATTTTTCCTATTTTTTTAATCTTCTTTCTTTTATAATCCAAAAATAAACTGTCAAGGATATCACATCTGTATTTATATGTCAAAATTATATTAAAAACAAACAAAATTTAAAACCATAGTTTTCAGGCAAGAAAATAATTTTCTTACAGAGTTGTGCAGTTGTTGGATTGAGTGGAAGGACAACTGTAGGATGGAAAAATGTTTCAAATAAACATATAATGATTATCTATTTATAATGTAATCTTTGTAACAGTTACTAATTTCCAAAAGTAAGTGAGCGTTAGAATCACCTTTGGAAAGTTTTCTATTGCATATTACTACATACAAGATTAACCATGGATAGCTTTTTGCCCCCATGTAGAAGTTTGGTGGTGGCTGTGTGCCGTACAGTCGGTTTCAACTCATAGTGACCCTGTACAGGGTTTCCAAGGCTATAAATCTTTACAGGAGCAGAATGCCTCATCTTTCTCCGGCAGAACAGCTGGTAGTTTTGAACTGCTGACCTTGGGGTTCGCAGCCCGATTCGTAACCACTACGCTACCAGAGCTCCATATATAGAAGTTTATAAGCTTAAAATTCCTAGGAAATCTTAAAAAACAAAATTTTAAGGAGAAAGAAACAAAATGGGTCAGAAATAAATTTAAATTTCTTTAAAAAAAAACAACCTCAACCTTTTGGAAGCAAGGGATGCTGAAATGAAAAAGAAAACATGCAATGAACGAATGAATGCTCTTCAAAGAGCTTACTAAAAGCATAGTCTGATAGACCAACTCCACAGAAACTAACCTTGTCATAATTTGATACTGTTAAACTGCACAGTTTCTTATTTTTCAGTAATATTGAATTGCTGTCTCACTATAGAAAGATACTTTACACATTGGGAAACAGTCACTAGAGAATTAAACTGTTGTTGATATGTGCTATCAAGTCGGTTCAAACTCATAGTGACCTTGTATAGGGTTTCAGAGGCCTCATCTTTCTCCTGCAGAGCGGCTAGCGGGCTCAAACCGTAAACTTGGTGGTTCATAGATCAGTGCTTCTCAAACAGAATTAAACTACAGAGCATTAATATGGCCACACGATCTACCTCTGCTGCCATGGGAGGAAAAAAAAAGTTTACTGCCTACTTAGTCCCTTTTCTTGATCCATCCAATATCTTGATTCTGTGAGTTTTAAATATAACTACAGTAATTTCTAGCATTTACTGAACCCCTTTCTCTGTACCTTGTATCTAGTATCTCCTCTTATCCTCACATAGCTAAAGAGTAGGCTTTCCTGATGAGGAAAGTGGTAAACTAAATGAGTAACTTGCCCAAGGGAACCAGGGTGTATTCAGACTCCAGATCCAGTGTTCTTAATATTATAGTTCCTAGTCCATAAAACAACATATTTACATCATGATAACTGCCCAAAATTGTCTATCTCCTTTCAACTACAGAAGACGCCTTAAGGATTTGTTTTTGCTTTTGCTGGTTGGGGCAGTCTACTTCTGTAAAGATTTACAGCCTTGGAAACCCTTTGGGGCAGTTCCACTCTATCAGGGTCACTATGAGGAAACAACCAGGGTTCTCGGCTAAATGCACAGGCACACAATGTTAATGATGAAGAAATCTAAACAAATGTTAAGCAAAATCTACGATTTTACAGCTAACAAAACTGAGGTCCAGAGAACTGGTTTATCCAAGATCATAAAGCTGACTTGCGGCCAAAAGCAAACCTATTGCTGTCGAGTCCATTTTGACTCATGACGAGCCTATAGGACAGAGTCAAACTGTTCCACTGGGTTTCTGAGACTGTGATTCTGTACAGGAGCAGACATCATCGTTCTCCTGCAAAGCAGCCAATGGGTTTGAACCAATGCCCTTTCAGTTAGCACTCCAACTGCACCACCAGAGCACCGCTGATTTGTGACAGCCAGGACTGAAACACAAGCCTTGACTTCTAGGAGTGATCTTCCCAGTACACGAAAAGTGTGTTCCCACCATCCAGCTGGAGTCCTAGTGTAGTGCTGTGAGTTAATGTGCTGGACTGCAGTCACTTTGAACCTCAAGGTCGGCTGTTCAAGCTCACCAGTTGCTCCTTGGAAACCCTATACAGGGTCTCTAAGGGCCCAAATCAACTCCATGGCAGTTAACACCACCACCATCCAGCTATACACTAAGTTCTTGCTGAATGAAATCCATCGCTCTACCTCCCACAAATACTAGAGTTCACTTTGCCAACTTTTGCATCATGCAAGGACTTCAAAAAATGATGAAGGATAAGACATAGTTTTAGGAGTCCTGGTGTGGTGCCACAGGATAAACTCTGGACCTCAAGGTCAGTTTGAACCGCAAGGTCAGTGGTTCAAAGTCACCAGCCGCCTCTCAGAAAGCCTATACAGGGTCACTGTGAGTCATGAGTCGGAGCTAACTCAATGGCACGTAACAACAACAGTTATATGTCAAACAATACTATATTAAAAAGAAAACAAACTGACATGTAGCTACCACCACCCAGTCTTTCATTGCCATAAATATGCAATACAAAGCTGTACTCTGCACTAAAGGCAATAGACGTATCACTGCCAGCCCACGTCTGGCAACAGAAACACATCAGCCATGTCATGTGACAAGGGCTATAACCACACTACCAAGGTGTTCTCAAGGTACACAGGAGGGGATATTTCCACCTGGATAAAGCAGAGATAACAGGCATGTAGAACTGTGAAGAAATGAGGGCGACCGGGGTGTCAGAAGATGTATTTGAGCAGGGCAAAGGCAAAGGCAAAAAAAAAAAACAACAAACACAACAAAAACAAGTGTGGCACTGGTTAGATAGCAGGGGGAATGCTATGATTTCTATCCAGGGGCATTAAAGAGAAAAAAATGTAAAAATTACCAATCATGGGGTCAGATGATCTGATTTCAAGTCCAGGCTGTGGCTGGTGGGGCAGAACAATTTCTGAGTCTCAGTGTTCCCATCTGTGATAAGTAGATAAGTAGACACTACACTATCACTGACCTGCCTAGCTCACAGGATTTCTGGTGTGGCAGGGCGGGTTAATGTGCTGGACTGCAAAGTCGGTTTGAACCACAAGGTCGGCGGTTCAAGCTCACCAGCTGCTCCTCAGAAACCCTAAACAAGGTCACTAGGGATGGGAACCACTTGACAGCACTTAACAGCAAGTAACCAAAAAAAGTGCTTGAAAACCGGCAAGGTTCTATAGAAACAAAACACCAGTTATTTATGTTTTCACTTCTAAGCAATCCCTATGGGTCCTGCCCCCTCCACTGTGTCTCATTCAAAGCCTCACCCTTCAGGATGAAACTCTTCCAATGACATCATTCATAAGCTTCATATGGAAACTAACAGCATCTTTTTCTTAAAGTGTATATGTATGTAAACGTGTGTCTTGTATGTTTCATTTCCTAAGCATCAAAGCTTACTATAATTGTATGTAGGAACTAGTACCAGATGCAAGTTTTCTTCTGGAAATAGTCAATCAAAATTCCATTTTATTTTATAATATGTTGTCAAGCAAGCAACTCAAGAACAGCCTGCCAGCAGCGGATCATATTTTGCTCTCAGCCTAAAAGAGAGTCGGGCTTTATAGATACACCCTGGACCCTAAAAAGGGGACACTGCTTTACTATAGGCACCCATATGAATGCCAAAAGGAAAGGCATCTTAGAAAATCCACGGAAAAGCATAATGAGTTTCAGATGTTGAACCGCTTGCGGGCCACCACCCAGATCCCTTTTGAATTCAAGAAGACACCATTTCCTTTAAAGTTTGACAGCCGAGACTATATAACCTCGCCTTCTTCTAGCAAACACTTCAATTCAAGTGCATCCAGACCCATTTTGGTCAACCTTAAATGCCACTGTCTGGGCTCCTTGGGACAGAAGCTACATCCAGTTGCAAATGGGCCCGAAACAGGAAAGGGACGCGGGGAGCGAGAAGCCCCAGTGGCCCGCGGCCGTTTCATATCCCAGCGCCACTTCCCCTTCTCGCCTCTTACCTTGTACACTTTCCCAAACGCTCCGTCGCCCAGCTCGCCTATAATTTCCCAAAACTCCTCGGGATTAAGGTCCCTCTTCACATGCTCGTACTGCTTTTTCTTCTTCTCGCTTCCCAACTTGAAGATCTTACGGAAATTGAAGAAGGACATTTTTCCTCCCAACAGAGTTCCCAGCACCTCAGGACTCCACACAATAAAAGGCAAAGTTTCTCCTCCCTCCCGTCTCGCGCGAGCCCGGCGGGCGCAGGAGCTCCGGC